ATTTTATATATTATGAAATAAGAAAAAAAAAACTAAAATATCAGGTATTGTAAAATAAAGGGAGTATTATTTATCGTTATGATGTTTTGGTCTCCTTTGTGTACACTGTTGTTGTGGTGTATGGTCTATTATTCTGATTAATCTTTCAAAATCTTGGTTTGTAACGAATTATAGTTCTAGGAGTTTAATAACAAAAATAGCGGTACATACTGAAAGTGGTATTTTTATCTTTATAGTGCTACATCTTATTATTACTTTTATGTATTTCGTAACTATTCTAGTAACGGTTACCATCCCCTTTTTTTTTTTTTTTTTTTTTTTTTTTCGCCAAAAAGCGTTTTTAGCTATGTACGTGTCACCAATGACACCCGCCACATGTCTGCCACAGAAGTTTCAAATTATGTTTCTGATATGTTGTCCGTGCCTCGTCCCTCCAAATACAGAAATTATTAATGATCAGTGTGAGAAATTTGAGTATGTGACTATATTATGTGGAAGAGAATTCTTTCGCAGAAGCTCAATCAGTGCCACAATTATTTACATATAACTAATTTATATTATGTGGAAGAAAAATCTTTCGCATAAGCTCAATTAGTGCCATAGTTAACTAACTAATTATATTATGTGGAAGAGAATTCTTTCGCAGAAGCTCAATCAGTGCCATAATTATTCACATGTAACTAGCTTATATTATGTGGAAGAGAACTAATATTGCTGTAGAAGCCCCTTAACCTAGTGGTTGAAAGGATTTAATGCTTCTATACCAGGAGGTATAGGTTTCGAATCCCGGCGGATGCGATTTGCTAATGATTTATGCAGATTATTGGAGACAAGCTTACAGGAGGTCTACAGAATGTTGCACGTGGAGCCGTCAGCCGGGGAATCTTTGAAGATGGTAAAATCGTCCGTTGTAGAATCGTCTTGTAACAGTTCTCATATTTGTGTAATAGATTAGTCAATCAAGTGTTAAAAAAAAGAACTAATATTGCTTTATATTGAATTCTCAACTGAATTTTGTAACCTAATATTTATACTTTTTTTTTTGTTAAAGATCCAAATATTTATACTTACGTACATTTTATTGAAAAATATTAACTGTAAAATAAGAAGTAAGTAAAATTGTATAAGAAACTTGTTTGGTTTTCAAAATTTACAGTAGTTTTCCAATTGGGTATTTTCTATAGATTTTTTCTCTCTTAGTAAAATTAGTCATTAACATTTCTTGTTGAAAGAAAAACTATGTTCTGGAACAAGTTAGGAAGGAATAAGAAACAAAGCACTTGTTAATGGTAGGTTTGTGTTAAATCTAATAAGACCCAATACAAAAAATATCTAATCGCAATTCAATTCTAAAAAGATTAAAGAAAGAAGACTAAAAATAAAGGGAAGAAATTGAGGCATATTATTATTATTAAAGATACTCTAAAATTTAAATTATAAATAGAGAATATAATATTAGTTGATGGGATAGAAAACTCTTAGATTAGAGAGCCAAACACTTGTTTATTATATTTTCTAGCTCGATAGGCTAATTTGTAATTTGATACTTGTTGGGATAAGCAACTTTCCAACCTCCTTCTCTTGAAAAGGTAGGACTTTTTTCTTACCTCTAATACAAAATACTCTTTGACAAAGTCACCTAATTCACCATTTACAGCACTGTCAATAATAAACAATTGATCAGAGAAAGTTTGGATTGCAGGAGGCTTACGTGGTGCAAATGTATCAAATGATCAGAGAAAGTTTGGATTGCAGGAGGCTTACGTGGTGCAAATGTATCAAATGCCACAGAGATTGATATATTCGTTGCCTTGCTATGCAACAAAACTTTTTTTTTTCAACGGCATCATAATTTATTCTCTTTTTTTTTGACAAAAGGTTTCGGATAATATCTTCTTGACAAACTAAAAAAACTGAAAGTAATAGCAAGCAAGAATACTCTCTACTCTGTACACGTATATTACGATAATTTTTAACCTCAATATTAGTATTGGGCTTCAATATTAAGTAAATGTCAATAGAACTTTTAAAATTAGTGTATGCTTTCCACGCGCCGTAAAATTCCTAAAAAACCCATAACAATTTGAGCGGGAATTTGCAGTATAAGCCTCTTGTCTCACAAAGCCAAGCCGAGTAGACATATATCAGCCGAGTAAAAATGTCCCATCACACTATCCTAACCTCATAAGGAAAATTTAATTTCCCTCTTGATTAGATTTTGTGGACACAAATTGGCCAAATATCTTTTCAGAAAACCTATTGACCTTCGAAGTGGTCTATTTTCTTTTATAAAGACCATTCCATCTCTATCTTCTCTGTTCTGTAAACATATATAAACATATATTAAGAGTTTCTTAATTCTCCTAATTAGTATGAGTATTTCCTTCAATTTCCCTTACTAGTTGGCGAGTGAATCTTCATTTTCATACTATGATATAGAAAAAGAATTACAAAGTTGTTAATGGCATGCCATAGTACAAAAGCGCATATACAGTATAGAGAATACAAAATACAAACTACGACCAAGATTTTATAATATTCAACCCTGACAAGTATCTAATGTTTCCCAAACTTGTAATGCATTGTTCATGGCAGCGGTTCGGATGATGGTGGTTCGGAAATGGGGGAGAAGAGCTGGTACCAATAACAAACACCGCAACAGCTGAGAGAATTGGTACCAATAACCATCAGAAACCACTAATTACGTCATGTTTGCTCAAATTCTGTCTCCAACATTCTCATGGATAAACCTTCTTCTTCTTTGTCAGAACCTCCTGGAAAAAAGATGAAAGAATATAGCATATAGACTCTAATGGTAGACTTCCTTCATTCATCAATTCCAATTGTAGACTCTAATGGTGATATAGCTATGTAAACCGAAATTGATTTAATTACCTTCGCCACTAGGAAACACCATCACAAAGTAATTGAAATTGGATCCTCTTGGGTTGTGCTAAGACTGTATATCCCAGCTAGGTGAGATTTGACAGAAGAGGAGTCATTTTAGGACCACAGAAAGATCTCCGGGAAGCGTTTGATTTTCTCACTGTGACGTGAAGCTTACCGTCGTCTCTGATCTCAGCGTTCGTCTCGAGGAAATCATGTCCGTCTAACGAAACAACGTCGGATTCCACTTTGAAAGAGACGATCGAGCCTCCGTCTCCGGGAATTGCTCCATGATCAGAATCTTAGCCCTCAATAATCGAAGAGGAAGAGGAGGAACGTATACCAGATTATACACTGAAGCATGACGATCTGGATCATCAGAGAGCCGGAATATTCGCCATACATGGATTTAACCTTTCTCATCTGTCTTACCATTAAAATCAAAACAAAAAACCTTTCTCCTCTGTCTTACCATTAAAACCAGAAAAAAAACCTTTCTCCTCTATTTTTTGATGCTTACATCAGATCTCAAATCAACCTCCCACCATTAGTGACTACTACCAATTCCGATATTTTCCTCTTCTCCTCTGAAATTCTACTCCGAAATTGAAATCCTAAATTTCGCCTTCTCTTCTACTAGTGCATTGGTGAGCTACATTTTACACATACTATACAATATCAAATAGTATACTCATCAATTAATTATCAGCATAAGTACCTAATAAATATATAGTCAATATACAACAACAATAAACTAGCTAATCTAAACCATAAACCTAGAAATAACACCCTAAAACTTAAACCCTAAACCCTAAATCCTAAATTCTAAACTCTAAACCCTAAACCCTAACCCAAACACAAACACAGTACCAAAATGAATGGATAGACTACCAATAAACCCAAAACACTAAACACTAAACACCAAACCCCACCACAAAAATAGTAAAGTAGTCAGGCATCAAGAGTTGGCTTAATAAGTTCCACCCATCTAAGAGTAAAATAGTTGTTCACTCTTTTTTCTGCCAGTTGGTTCAAATCCAGTCTGAAACAATCTCTGATAAGCTCCTCCATTCTAACAACAAAAATTACAATAATAATTTAGTTAATCAACTCACAAACACAAATAAATAGTCCTAAAAAAAAACTAAAATATAAAATGAGCCAAACACAGAAATTCCATTCTGTAAATCCCCTTATCCTGCATACTTACATACAACCAAATCAATCAAGAAACACAGTCATATATCATAAACCATTTACAAAAGATACGACAACTACGGCAAATCAAAACATCTATTTTGGCAAATAGAAGCTACGAATTATCAGCCACAAACTCAAATTAAAAGTATAACCTATTAATTGAATACTATACTATCACAAGAGCCGTAAAGCAAAATCAAAGAAGTGGAAGATAGAACAATAGATAACAATACACAGCAAACTTTAAAAACTAGTAAACCTAACCTTGATAATCTCGAAGGTGTTCTTGAAGACAATATCAAACAGAAATCCTTTTCACCCACAACTCCAAACTTCAGTGTACCTCTTAATCGGAATTCTCGAATTCGACAATATCAATGTGGAAAGAGTTAGATCGGTGAAATAGTCTAGAGAATTCAGAATTTTTCTTTTTCAATATTTTGTCTTTTCTTTAAAATATTAAAGTATATTATCAGTTCAACTAAGCTGAATTTTAGCCGAACACTGAAGGGGGTTATTAAGGTAAATATTTTATAAAATACAGTGAATATAATAACCTATCAAGTGATACTGATATATTCTTAATTTAAACGTTTTTTTATGTATATTCAGTACTATTTCCCTAATATCTTCTTGACAAACTAAAAAAACTGAAAGTAAAAGCAAGCAAGAATACTCTCTACTCTGTACACGTATATTACAATAATTTTTAACCTCGGTATCTCGAAGCTTATCCTCACCGATTACAATAAACGACATTTAGCTTTGTATATATCAGAAAAACCGACATGTGTTTCCGTAGTTTATAACGTCTTCATGCTAGATTTGATCGAACTTGTTGAAAACGTTGCTGTTTTGTCTTAATACTCTGTTTCTCTATCACCAAAAGAAAAAAATACAGAGGAACAAAAACAATGGCGATTCTCTTGTATTTCCTCTTGCTTCTACTCCTTCCGGTTCTCTTCTCGGTATTATACACAAAGAAAATCAAAGACTCAAAACAGAATCTTCCTCCGAGTCCACCAAAGCTTCCGATCATCGGCAACCTACACCAGCTCGGAGGACTGCTTCACAAACGTCTTCACGATCTCTCCAAGAAATACGGACCCGTGATGCTTCTCCATCTAGGGTTTGTCCCAGTTGTGGTAATCTCGTCGAGTGAATCAGCTGAAGAAGTTCTTAAAACCCATGACCTAGAGTGTTGTACACGACCCAAGGCTCTCGGAATGCAGACGTTTTCGCGTAAAGGCAAAGACATTGGTTTTGCGTCATACGGTGAGGAATGGAGAGAGTTGCGCAAGCTTGCTATTCTCGAATTCTTCAACACGAAAAAGGTTCGATCTTTTAGGTATATCAGAGAGGAAGAAAATGACTTGATGATTAAGAAACTGACGGAATCAGCTTTGAAGCAGTCTCCAGTGGATTTGAGCAAAACTCTATTCTCTCTAGCTGCGTCTATCACATTCAGATCTGCCTTTGGACAGAATTACTTTGAAAGCAAGCAAATCAATAAGGAGAAGATTGAAGGATTGATGTTTGAAGCACTGACAAATATGGCTTTCAAATTCACTGATCTTTTCCCTGTTGCTGGTCTCGGATGGTTTATTGACTTTGTGTCAGGACAACATAAGAGACTTCAAAATGTTTTCACTGAGGTTGATACTTTTGTGAAGAAAGTGGTTGATGATCACTTGAAGAATAAGCATGGAGTAACCAGACAAGATCGTCCAGATATGGTCGATGCGATGTTAAATATAATAGATAAACAAGAAGAAAATGAATCTTTCAAGCTCACAATTGATCATCTCCATGGAGTCATCTCAGTAAGAATATAATCTTTAGTTTCTGGTTATCTAATCTTAATTCTGACCTAATCATCTTTCTTGAGCAGAATATATTTCTGGCTGGAGTGGACACAAATGCCAGCATCATGATTTGGGCGATGGCAGAGCTCGTTGGAAACCCGAGAGTGATGAAGATAGCTCAGGAAGAGATCCGAACAAGCATTGGAGTTAAACCGCAAGAGAGAATCTCAGAAGAAGATCTTGATAAGCTTCAATACTTGAAACTTGTGGTGAAAGAAACCTTAAGAAAACACCCAGCAGGTCCTCTGTTACTTCCAAGAGAAGCAATGGCTGATATCAAGATTCAAGGCTACGACATTCCAAGAAAAACCCTGCTTTACGTCAACGCTTGGACGATAGGAAGAGACCCTAAAAACTGGGAAAATCCAGAAGAGTTTATCCCGGAGAGGTTTATTGATTCTCCTGTGGATTACAAAGGACAGAGCTTTGAGATGTTACCATTTGGTTCAGGTCGGAGGATATGTCCAGGAATGGCTTCAGCGATTGCCACCGTTGAATTGGGACTCTTGAATTTTCTGTACTTTTTCGACTGGAAATTGCCTGAGGGTAAGAAAGATATGGACATGAAAGAAGCTGGTGATGTTATAGTTGGTAAGAAAGTTCCTCTTGTGCTTCTTCCAGTTCTTCGCCAGTAATGTGCTCACAGAATCTTCAGGAACAAGAGGCTATACTGTGTAATAGGTCAGACTTCATATATAGTTTCCTAATGTTGTTATCTTGTCAGTGATGTCATGAGTAAGTTTGAGAAGAACGGTCGGTTTTAAAACTGTTTATGCTCTTTTTATTTTTGTACAGAAATATTCTTGTTGGTAAAAGTTGGTTTGTATGACGTTTTTGGTTCATGTATTTAGTTTCAACATCCAAAAACGTAACATTCATGTATTTGTATATACAAATATGGATGGATGATAATAAAACAGGATTAAACAAGGATGAAGGCGAGGTTAGAGGGTGACAGAAACAGAATGCAAAACCTTATAGCGATGTAAGTCAGGATCAACGGTCATGACAGCGTTAGACCATTCGATATTGCCCCAAATCTCGGGTCCTTGGGGTCGTCTCTCCAGGGAAATCTCAGCACACCACATCCCAAGACGATCATCCCCGTCCCAGAAGAGCACAAGGTTGCCACCAAAGTTGCTGAGCCTGGCTCCGGGAAGTAAATCCGCCATCTTTTCGTCTACACCAATCTTGATCTTGTAGGACTCCCACGTAGACTCAACATTGCTATCAATGTGGACCAGCCTGGAGCGAGAGAGACTCTCACTCAGAGAGCCTAAACCCTTCACCTCCCTCCAATACATCTCCTCTGGCTCAGAGCTCTCCAACTGCACTGGCTCACACCAACACAGGTTTCCGCTGATGTCAATACAGTAGAGCAGTTTATCAATGAAACACCAATCCCTTCTGTTACTTATCTGTGGAGGAGTATTCCCTCTTCCCCATTTACTTTCACTCGGCGTGTAGTACAAGCTATTATTAGCCACTCCATACATTGCGTAAATCTTTCCCTTCACGACCACGCTACCGATGTAAGGCTGATGGCGAATCGTCGTATCCGGCGTCGGCGGCAAAGAATCCCAAGTTTGGGTCTTTGGGTCGAATACCTCTGCCCATTTTGAGGAATTCGGATCCGGGCAGCCTCCGAACACGTAAATCTTCCCGCCCACGACTCCGGCCGCCGCGCGAGATCGAGCTGCTCCCATGGAAGGGGCTCGCCGCCACGTGTGAGTCAGGCAATCAAGGAGGTGGACTTGTGGAGAGAGCTTCCCCTTTATACGTCCACCGATCACATAGATTCCCCAGTCGACCGCCACCACAGAAGATGCTTCCGGAGGCTGAAAACGTAACGAAGCGATCGGGCTCAGAAGCCGGTCCAGAGATTTACCACGGTGGAGGATGAACCAGTGTGGGGATGGATCGGGAGGGGTGCCCATACATACATACAGCCAATTCTCGACGCAACCCAGTAGCGACCTCATAATGTAGAGATCAGGAGAAGCCACTAGAGAGCGAAGGCTCTTGGAGACCAGAGACAAGGCCGCCTGATCCGATTTCGACATTCGAGCCAGGCAGCTCAGAACCATGTCATCTGGCAGTGGCGGTGAAGGAAACGGAGACATCTTCCTCTTTTTATGCGGTGGCTCTTCGGCGGCCGCTGAATTCGACATCATCCAAATTCAAAGTTTATCTTTATTATTATATTATTAATTGAGAAGTACATGGAAAATTTACGACCAAAAAACCAATCTAATTATAAAGAGAAAGTGTTTGACAATAGATTTAATTAGGGTCAATTTAATACATTGTAATGTTTGGATATAAGAATAAGAGAAAAAACTATTTAGATAAAAGAATAAATGGAAAAAGTTGTTTGGATACAAGAATAATAATTTAAAACAAACTGATGATTTAGAAAACTTACATTTTAGATAAAATATGCTTTTAGATAATGACATAATGAAGATTATATTATAATACACAAAAGTGAATAAATAATGACGATTATGATTAAATAGTATATGCTATCGTCATTATGCTATTATGCTATTCACTTTATCGTCATTATGTTATTCTTAGACTATCTCCAACCCCTCATGCCATATGTTATTGCAAATGGCAAAAATATAGCAATAGCATTGGGTTTCTCTCCAACCCCTCATGCCATATATCATGCTATAATTTTTTTCCAACTTATTATTAATTGTTAAAACTACTTGATTTCTTCAAATTTTACAAAGTGAATCATTTGTTTTTCTTTTTTTGCAAAAACAACCAGAATTATATTTATTTTTTTATTATTATAATATTAAAACAAAATACATCATATTACATAAAAATTATAGAAAACAAAGATTTTAACCTATTGTTTTATGTTTTTTGAATTTCAGTATTTTTAAAAATAAAATTTAAGTTTATTATGGTTATGTTTTTATATTTCTATGAAATAAATATTATTTATATTTTGAAAAAGTTATGAGTATTGTTTATTTATTTAAATAAATCATAATCAATATAATTAAACTGTTAAATTAAAAGTAATTACAAATTGAAGGACTATTTTATAAATAAAAAAGTTCAATGGCAAAATAGCATATTGCATAATCTCATGCCAAATATAGAAGCAAAAATAGCATGATGCTATTTTGCAATAGCATATGCAATTGGGTTGGAGCAAAAATTATGGCAAAATAGCATATATGTCATATTTAGCATGGGGTTGGAGATGCTCTTATAATACCAGATTATCGTCATTATGCTCATTATAATATCAAATTAATATAATATGTTTTTTGGATTTTCGGATTTTTATAAATAAGTTCAGGTTTGGGTGAAAATCTAAGACCTAATTTTATAGAGATATAGAAATTGTTCGGGTTTCTTTGAAAATTTTTGTTCAGATTGGGTTCGAGTTTTTTTTTCAGTTTAGGGTTTCCGGATTTTTTGGATTTCGGGTTTTCAGGTTTAGATATATTAAAAAGTTTGAGTATTTGAAAATTTTGATTAGGGTATTTGGGTCGGGTTCCGGGTGAAAAAGTTTCTAGATTTTTTTTGTTCAGTTCAGAGTTTTCATGATTTTTTTAATTTCGGATTTTCGGGTTTAGACATATTAAAAAAAGTTTGGATTTTTAATATTTTTGATTAGGGTTTTCTGGTCGGACTCGGATTTAGATTTCGAATTTTCTACACAAAACCATAACGTCACACCGCACAAACGTGCGGGTACTCTACTAGTCTTTTTAATATTTATCTGAAAGAGGGAGAGAGAGATGATTTCTCGATCTTCTTCACTCTATGTTTAATTAACTAGGAAAAATATTAAAATAAGATATATTTCCTTCTTCAAACACGTATAGGAGTTTTAAGTTTTTTTTGTTAAAAGTAAAATTATCTGCAAGGAAAAAGGAAATACCGAGCATTATATCTTTTTCTTTTTTTTCTATAAAGAAAATGATTCTATTTCAATTTCTATTTCAAATCTCTAAGAAAGAGATATTATGAATGGAAAAATAGTAATTTTATTATAATTTTCGTTATTCCCAGTTATAAAATGTGTGACTCATACATGAATTGTATTAAAAAGTATTCTTCCCTTTTTTATGTTTCTTCTATTTTCTTATATAAATTTTCCTTTAGTTTGTACTTTCTAGTTATATTCAGTTATTCATGCATGATCTACTTTTTTCCCAAATACAAATCCTACAATTTTGCATTGATACAACAAATCCTGAAACTTTCTTCTATATATTTTAGTTTTAAATAGGCCACGTATCAAATCATATGTATACGTTACTCTGTTTTTGTAAAGTGTTAATAGTCGGGAATCTCGGTGTATTAATTTCCGATATTTACGATAATTTTTAGCCTCACACTCTCAGTCATCATCTCGAGCTTATCCTCACACTGGACAATATATGGCATGTAATCTTTGTATTTTTGTATATATATCCAAACCAACAAGTGTGTCCGTTTATAAAAACGTTGTTGTTCTGTCATAATACACTGTTTCTCTGTCACTGAATTCACAAAAAAAAAAAAGGAACGACAACAATGGAGATTCTGCTGTCTTTCCTCTTGCTTCTCTTTTTCCCTGTTCTCTTGTCGTTAATCTTCGTGAAGAAGAACAAATACTTGAAAATAAATCTTCCTCCGAGCCCACCAAAGCTTCCGTTCGTCGGAAACCTACACCAGCTCAAAGGATTAGCTCGCAGATGTCTTCACGATATCTCCATGAAACACGGACCCGTGACGATTCTCCGTCTAGGATCTGTCCCAACAGTCGTGATCTCATCAAGTGAAGGAGCTGAAGAAGCTCTTAAAACGCATGATACTGAGTGCTGTACACGACCTGTCACTATCGCCTCAAGGGTTTTCTCGCGTAACGGTAAAGACATCGGCTTTGGGGTATACAATGAGTCCTGGAGAGAGCTGCGTAAGCTTGCGGTTCGCGAGTTTTTCAACGTAAAAAAGGTTAGATCTTTCAAGTACGTTAGAGAGGAAGAGAATGACTTGATGGTCAAGAAACTGAGAGAATCAGCTTTGAAGCAATCTCCGGTTGACTTGAGCAAAACTCTTTATTACCTAGCTGCGAGTATAGTATTCAGAACCGCCTTTGGACAGAGTATCTTAGACAACAAGCATATCAACAAGGAAAGGATCGAAGGATTGATGTTTGAAGCTCAGAGAAATATGGCTTTCTCATTCACTGATTTCTTCCCCACTGCTGGTCTTGGATGGTTTATGGACTTTGTGTCAGGCCAACATAAGAGACTTCACAATGTTTTCTCCGAGCTTGATACTTTTTTTAATCAGATAATTGGTGATCATCAGTTGAAGAACTTCACACAAGATCGTCCTGATTTCATCGACTCCGTCTTAGAAATTATACATAAACAAGAACAAGATGAGTCTTTCAAGCTCACCATTGATCATCTCAAAGGAATCTGCCAAGTAAGCAAAAAAAAGCTCTTTACTTTGATTCTAACATATACATCCTTGATTAATTATATTATCTCTCGTCTTTTTGGTGACCTAGAATATATATCTTGCTGGAGTAGACACAAGCGCCATCACCATGATTTGGGCAATGGCAGAGCTCGTTAGAAACCCTAGAGCAATGAAAAGAGTTCAAGAAGAGATCCAAGCTTGCATTGGAATCAAAGAAAAGGAGAGAATCGTGGAAGAAGATCTCGGTAAGCTTCAATACTTGAAGCTTGTGGTGCAAGAAACCTTAAGACTACACCCAGCAGCTCCTCTGTTACTCCCAAGAGAAACAATGAGTCAAATCAAGATTCAAGGCTACGACATTCCGCCAAAAACCATTCTACTGGTTAACGCTTGGTCGATAGGACGGGATCCTAGACACTGGAAAGATCCAGACGAGTTTATCCCGGAGAGGTTTATCGATTGTCCTGTGGATTACAAAGGACATAGCTTTGAGATGTTGCCATTTGGCTCTGGTCGGAGGATGTGTCCAGGAATGGCGTCAGGTATTGCGACCATTGAATTGGGGCTCTTGAATTTGCTTTACTTTTTCGACTGAAAATTGCCTGAGGGTGAGAAAGATATGGACATGGAAGAGGCTGGTGATGTTACCGTTGTTAAGAAAGTTCCTCTTGTGCTTCTTCCGGTTCTTCGCCAGTGATGTGGTCAAGAGTCTTGGGGAACAAGAGAAGTTAAACTCTGAAATAGATCAGTTCTAAGAGTAGAGTTATGTTGTTGGTTTTTTAAGAATAAACCTTGTTTGGAGATTAATGTTTACTTTGACATCACATCATGAGTCTAATATGGGCTGCTTAGATTTTCTTTCTTGGATTTAAGAGATGAAGACTTTGGAAGGATTGTTTTGCTGAACTTTCTCTCTTTTTTTTTCACCTGTATTTTCATAATGTTTGTTAGATTTTAAACGAGACGTATTGACTAGAATAACTCTCTTAGTCTTCGTCTCGAGTTTATCCTCACGGACGAGTGGCTACAATAAAACGACATGTAAGGTGTAACTTTGTTGTATAAGTCTAAACCACCAGTGTTTTCTTATATAACAACGCCTTCACACGACTAGTCTTCAAACTTGTAAACAACGTTGTTGTTGCATCTTAATACATTGTTTCTCTATCTCCGAAAACAACAGAGAACAAAGCAGAGGAAACCGTTAACAATGGAGATTCTTCTGTCTTTCCTCTTGTTTCTTTTAGTTCCTCTTCTCTTCTCGTTAATCTACATCAATAAGATCAAATACTCAAAGAATATTCCTCCGGGCCCAACAAAACTTCCAGTCATCGGAAACCTACACCAGCTCCATGGATTGCTTCACAGATGTCTTCACGATCTCTCCAAGAAACACGGACCTGTGATGCTTCTCCGTCTAGGGTTTCTTCCAGTGGTCGTGATATCATCAACTGAAGCAGCTGAACAAGTTCTCAAAACCCATGACCTTGAGTGTTGTACACGGCCCAACACTGCCGCCTCAAGGGTTTTCTCGCGCAACGGTAAAGACATCGCACTTGGGGTCTATGGTGAGGAATGGAGAGAGCTTCGGAAACTTGCCGTTCGTGAGTTTTTCAGTGTGAAAAAAGTTCAATCTTTCAGGTACGTTAGAGAGGAAGAGAATGACTTGATGGTCAAGCAACTGAGAGAATCGGCTTTGAAGCAATCTCCTGTTGATTTGAGCAAAACCCTTTTTTGCCTAGCTGCGAGTATCATATTCAGAACCGCCTTTGGACAGAGTTTCTCCGAGAACAAGCATATCGATAAGGAAAGGATCGAAGAACTGATGTTTGAGAGTCAGAGAAATTTTTCTCTCAAATTCTCTGATTTCTTCCCTGTTGCAGGTCTTGGATGGTTTATGGACTTTGTGTCAGGCCAATACAAGAGGCTTCACAACATTTTCCTCGAGATTGATACTTTTCTTAATCATATAATTGATGATCATCAATCGAAGAACGCAACTCAAGATCGTCCTAATTTGGTCGACTCCATCTTATATATGATAAATAAACAAGAAGACGATCAATCTTTCAAGCTCACCATTGATCATCTCAAAGGAATCAGCCAAGTGAGCAAACAAATCTCTTTACTTTGAATCTAACCTATACATCCTTGATTAATTAAATAATCTCTGGTGTTTTTGGTGACCTAGAATATATATCTTGCTGGAGTAGACACAAGCGCCATCACCATGATTTGGGCGATGGTAGAGCTCATTAAAAACCCTAGAGTGATGAAAAACGTTCAAGACGAGATCCAAACTTGCATTAGAAGCAAACCAAAGGAGAGAATCGCAGAAGAAGATCTTGATAAGCTTCAATACTTGAAGCTTGTGGTGAAAGAAACGTTAAGACTACATCCAGCAGCTCCTCTGTTACTCCCAAGAGAAACAATGAGTCATATCAAGATTCAAGGTTACGATATTCCAGCAAAAACCCTTCTACTAGTTAACTCTTGGTCGATAGGACGAGATCCTAAACACTGGGAAAATCCAGAAGAGTTTATCCCTGAGAGGTTTATGGATAGTCCTGTGGACTACAAAGGACAGAGTTTCAAATTGTTACCTTTTGGTTCTGGTCGGAGGATGTGTCCAGGAATTGCTTCGGGGATTGCGACCGTTGAAATGGGACTCTTAAATCTGCTTTACTATTTCGACTGGAAATTGCTCAAGGAGAAAGATTTTGACATGGAAGAAGCTGGTGATATTACCATTGTTAAGAAAGTTCCTCTTCAGCTTCTTCCTGTTCTTCGCCAGTGGGATGTTGAGGAACAATAGAAGTTCAATCGTGTTGTTGTTACAAAAAATAATGTTGTTATTTTGTTTTGGGACAATAAAACGGAATTGTGTTGAGGAACAATAGAAGTTCAATAGTGTTGTTGTTAAAGTTTGCTTATCTGAGAGCACTACAAGAAATATGCCCATTGACAGCATACGATTAGTGCTATAATATGTGTTTGATAGCGTTTTCATAAACGCTGTGTTAGCCGGAGCTATTATAGGTCACCACCATATGATAGCACTTTTTTCATGTGCTATTACAAGTTTGTCTATTATAGCGTATAATAAATGATATAATTTTCTTTGTTGTAGCTCTTTTACTAGGCTATAATATATTGTTTAGTAGCTCTATTTTGTAGCTATAATTTAAAATATAAGAGCCATATTTTGCTGCTATAAAACACTGATTTTCGGTATGCTATATATACTATTATTGTTGATACACACCATTTAGTTTGAGATATTCATATTTGTTATACATTTGCAAGAAACCTGATTTTTCATAGAATTCATATATATATATAGAAAAACTCAATACAAGCCTCAATCCTCAACAAATATTACAAGTCTCACTCAGTTCAAGTCTTAACTAACAGTAGAATCCAAACTCCATTTCCTTGCTTAACTCTGGCATGTACTAAACTCAAATTCGCTTGTGGCTTACTGCTCCATTACCACTCTCTTCGGCTTCATCTGGATCAATGCTCAAGAACATTGTCAATCATCTAATCCTAGCAAAACAAAAACCGCCAACAAGTTATTTTCCTCAGCAACTGTAGCCCACAGGAGGTTATACTGTGAATCATATGTCAAGAATACATTAATCAATAACCACACAAAGCGCCATAAAAGTGATGTCAAGAATATCACTTCTTGTACGAAAATCTAGTAAGTACAAAGAGGAAAGTGAGTTCTAACCATATCATCACCGGCTTTAGCCTACACCTTTGGATACGCAACATCTATCATCAAAATAGTGAAAACGTTTTATTGACAGATAGCCAAACCTTGATAGAAAGTGGTGCAAACAGGAAGTTTTGTGGTGCTTAAAGATCACTGTTTCTGCTCTCCAATTTCTCCAGATTAGCGTCTTTGCAGCTTATCACTGGAATATAGAACAGCATAAAACCATATAAGTATCCATCAAACGCCTCATTTCTCAGCTAAAAATGAATACAAAAGCACAAAAGCACTAACTCAAAAATTAAAAAAACAAAACACAGACACATACTAACAAGCAAGGATACAACAATTCCTTAGCCAATTAATTACAACAATCAAAGAATAGAGTAAGGTAGAGTAGTATCTTCTTACATAGCCATTGAACTCTTGAGCAGCTGCCTCAACTTCAGAGACTGGCGACATAGTCACGAATCCGAAACCCCATCTTGGTCCTGGTACTTTGTCATAGATTACCTGAAAAACAAAGAACTGAAAAACGATTCATCTCAACAACACAGCAATCTTTATCATTGTGATGCAACATAAACTACTTAAACCCCAAAGGATAACAATCTCTTTTAAGAAAACTATACCTCACAAATTAGACATCACATCAATCCGCAAAATAGAATTCTGAACTCGTCTCTCAACCATCTCAACAGTTCTGGCGCTCTTGAACAGCTAGGCTAACTGAGAACTGTAGACATTAAAGGGCAATACATCTTTCTTCGTGAATTAGCTACCACCAAAGTAGGAATCGTTATTAGATTAGAGTCGTAAAAAGAAATCAAGCAAAGATGCTAAAGCATTGAGATTTTTAGTTTACCTCAATCACAACTGCTTTGAAATTCAAAGACCCCAACAAACTCTGAAAAACACACAAAACCCAGAATTTTTAAAAATCAAATGCACAATAAGAAACGAGGTCCAAGCTATGAAACAAAAGAAGGAGCAAGGCAAGGAGAATACATATGTCCTAATCGGAATCAATCCAGGAATCGATCCAGCAGAAGGATAAATTTCTGCTTTCTAGTCGGGATTTTCGTTAGTGCCGTCGCGAGACTGAAGAGACTGACGGGGAAAGTCGAGAGACGTTTGCTCTTCTTCCTCGTCTAAAACCCTAATTTTCTAAGGGATAAGCAGGAGAGAGATGATGAGAGAGGGCTATCACAAGATTGAGGAGCATCTCCGATCGGAGATGATTGAGGAGTAAATCGGAAATGAAGAGGATAGAGGGAGGAGAAGAAGGTCGCACTCGCAAGAGATCTGGTTTTTTTTTGTACAGAAAAGGCTTGTGACCTTTTTTTTAAGTGTCGAGGCCTATGACAAATTTGGAAAAATTAGGCTCCAATAGTTCCCGGTTACTGAAATTTCGGCATAGCATTTAAAAAATGTTATAATAGAGTACCCTAAATCAATATACCCCTTTAATAGCAGTTACGAAAACCATGTGCTATGGTAATCTGCTATCAATGTCCATATTTCTTGTAGTGGAGGAATGGAATTGTGTAATAAGTTTTATATTTGCTTTAAACTGGTTTTGATGCACCGGTTTGTATGACGTCATAGGAAGTTGTATAGGGTCTAAATGGTAACCGCTGAATGTGGAATGTGGCTGAATAAAATGAAGATTTTTTACGGAATCTGGTTGATTAGTTTGTAATATGAATGGTAACAGCTGAATGTTGCTGAATGCGGAATAAATAGTTGAAAAATTATTTGTCTAACAAAAGAATAAAATATACATTTAAAAATACAATATTTTTGATATTACCATTTCATTAATGAAAAGTATCTCATATGTGCCTATTATTTTGCTCCCATAATTTTGTATTTATTTTAGACTAAAATAGTTATTATTTAAAACTGAAAATAAGTATTACAATATCTAATACATCACTCTATATCTGAACATACTTTATAACTGAAGGGGAAATTTCAAAACTACACCTCTTGAGGTGTCAATTTTCAAAAATACACTTCTATGGTGTCTATTTTCAAAACTACACTTTTTTCAATGAATAAAAGAACTCTAAACCTTAAAATATAAACCCAAACCCTAAAATCAAACATTGAACCCTTAAATCTAAACCCTAAACCCCAAAATCTAAACCCTAATCTAGGATTAATGAACCCAAATATAAATATTAAAATTAGGAAAAAGTGTATTTTTAAAAAATTTCATACTATAGGTGTAGTTTTGAAATTTTGCACCTAAGGTGTATTTCTTAAAATTTCTCATGGCTGAACATGCTCCTCTAAATATTATCTGGATACTTCAAATATTACAATTGCTTTTATTAAACTATTTATAATAATGCTTATAATGTGAATACTTACAAAATAAATAAGATTAAACATATGTAAGATAGATTCAAATTATTGAAGTAACAAAAATGTAAAATATAAAGAAATAAGTATCTTATATATAATAGGAGAGTTTCCTCTCTCCATCTAGGCTATCCACATCAGCAAAAAAATTCATTAAATTGTTTTTAAAATATTTAATACATGACTATTCATATTTCTTTACCTATATTTATATTTTTAAATATAAATAAAACTAAGAAAAATACACAACTAAATTACTTAATTAATATAAAGTATGTGATAACTTGATGTTAAAAGTTATCAAAAAGTTTGGATATAAGTAAAAATATATTTATCTTGAAATGGTATATATTTACCTTTTTATTAAAAGGATTTATCCTACTTCAAAATGTTATAATGTGTTCACAAGTTAAAAAGTTGAATATAAATTAATTAAGATAATAAAAAACCAATGAGAAATTAGAGTTAGAGTTTGCTTTTTTAAACAAATAGAAGTCAAGTTTTTATATGTAAATTTAATTGCAGTGAAAAACATGAAAATTTTAAGGATTGTGATATGTTTGTTTCCAAATATATTCAATTACAAAACTAACATAATAGAAAATAATCAATGGTCATGAGGCTCATATGCTACCACAACAAAGTAGATATGTATAAAAGTATATATATTATTTTTTCATCCTATTTCGGTGCAAATGCGATTTTACAATATACTTACAAATTTTAACGCTGAGTCAAATTATACATATGCATGTTTATAGTCTAACAAAAGTAAACAAACATAATATTTATAATATGCTAAAATGTTAGAAATAGAAAATTCGAGATAAAGTGGGGTGTTAACATCCTAATAAAATAAAATAAAAGGACGCACGATGTGAGATAAAATATAAACAAAACCATTGCAAACAACCCCGCGCTTGCGCGGGGCTTCAAACCTAGTGAAATCAATTCTGCAGTTTTTGTCGTTTAGTGATTATTCAGCTGAACATACTTTAACTCAACTGGTAACATAAACAAACAAAAATCAGCTGAATTCCTCTACATTTAGCAATTCCTCATGCACCAGTTAGGGCCATAGTTTCAACATACAGCATGTATAATTTATATTCAATATTCAGGTATTATCTGTTTCTAAAACCGTCTTTGCAGTTGATTGCATTTATAATTAACTAGGGGTCCGGAATATAAAACAATACTTTTTAACAAAAAGTATAGGATTTTAAGTTTGTTATATAACTACATAAGTGACTATATTTTTTTTACCATAGTTATTTGTCTATACATGTTAAAAAAACAAAACACATTGAGTTACCACTTACCATGAGGTGAGGTTTCAACTTTCAACTTTAACTTTTTTTTTTTTTTTTTTTTTTTTTTTTTTTTTTTTTATAGTTTGCAGTAAACCAACAAATATCAAAAATTGTATATCCGACTCTATGCAGTTTTTTATTTAGAGTTGAGAAAATTATAATGCGCCTTATTCACATTTTAAATAAAAATAAAGTGTGAATTAATAAATAAATAATATCATGAGAGAATTATATGGTATATTCATATCCCCAATTTTTTTTATAAAGAAAAAAGATGACAAGAATTTGGTATGATATTCCCAATTGTCAAAAAAGAAAAGAAAATATGACACAAATTTGGTATGGCATATCCCAATTGTTAAAAAAGAAGAAAATATGACAATAATTTGGTATGATATTCCCAATTGTCGATACAAATATGGTCTGACATATCCCAATTGTTAAAAAAAAAATATATATATATATGACAAGAATTTGGTATGATATTCCCAATTGACAAAAATAAGAAGAAAACATGAAAAGAATTTAGTATGATATTTCCTGTTAGACAAAAAAGAAGAAAATCTTACAAGGATTTGGTCTGATCTATTCCAATTGTCATAAAAAGAAGAAAATATGACAAAAATTTGGTATGATATTCCCAGTTGATAAAAATGGAGAAAATCTAACAAGAATTTGGTAAAATATTCTCAATTGATTTAAAAAGGAAGAAAATATGAACATCATAAATTTAAAAAATGATTTCCATTTGGAATATTCCAGCTATTATAACATTAATCAGACATTCTTTTTTTCATTTAGAAAAAGTTCTAGCGTCGTCTATAAATATTGCCGGCGTCGTTGTTCATATCTCACACCATCTTATACTCTTTCACCATCTCAATTAAATCGTTTACTCGTCCTTCTTTCTTCAATCGCTCTTTCGATTTCTCTCTTAGATCGACCAGACTTTCGCAGTTCTCTTGTCGTTTTCGCGTCCAAACTGTAAGTATTATGTTTTGTGTCGATTTCAAATTACAATCACTGTTAAACCCTTAGTTGTCCTCCTATTAAAACTTCCAACATTTTAGCCTAGATTCATTTGACAGATTTAACTGATTTTTTGGGAACTTTATTGTTTCCCGTCGAGATAATCGATGTAGTGTAGAATCACTTAATTTTGAGGGTTTTGATTATATAGTTTCATCCGAAATCTTTATCTCAATTTGCGTCACAATGATGATTTTGTGAGTTCTTTGAGTTTTTCTTCTTAAACTCAGTATGTATATCTCTTCTTTAGGTAATTTTTTCATTGAGCCTTTGTAAATTTTGCTTCGATATAGGTGTTTGGAAATGCTGAAAAATGGAACCACAAATACAAAGGCGAAGCAAAAGAAGAGGACGTTTCCGGAGAGCAACAGTCAATTTTGAGATTCAATCAAGACCATGGGCGCATCATTATAGGAAAGAGAAGCATAGTGCAGATAAGCTTGACAGGACAAGAGTGGAGGAGAGAAAAACAAAAGATCTGCTTATGGAATACTATTGCAAGAGCTTGTATTCACCTGAGAGAGGATGGTTCTTTAGGATAAGAGAGAATGAAGAGGAGAGATCAAAAGTTAAACTCAGCAGTTCAAAGAGGAACGAGAGGGAGCTATTCATGACCAATGAATGCATGAATGTACAGCTTAAGGACGTAAAAGGAACGGCTAGTCTTGAGATTCGATCAAGGCCATGGGGACATCAGTTTCGGAAAGAGAACACTGCTACAGATAAGCTTCACCGGGCAAGAGCAGAAGATAGAAAAGCCAAAGGTCTGCCCACAGAATACTACTGCAAGAGTTTGTATTCACCAGAGCGAGGAGGCTTCTTTAGTCTTCCACGAGGTGATATTGGTCGTGGTTCTGGTTCTTGCAGTTCATGCAAGATAAGGGAAGATGAAGAGGAAATTTTAAAGACTAAACTCAACGGTGCAAAGACAGGTTTTATCTCCAGTGGGGTTAAGTATTCTGTTGATGATCATGTATATGTCAATCCTGAGTACATAACTTCTGATGGATCCAAAAAGGGTAGTGAAAAATTCAAGTCTGGCCGGAACATAGGGTTAAAAGCTTTTGTTGTTTGCCATTTTCTGGAAATCATTGTCCTCGATGAGTCAACAAAGAGTTCTTTTGAGGTAAGAGTGAGAAGGTTTTATAGGCCTGAGGATATTTCTGACGAGAAGGCTTATGCTTCACATATCCAAGAGGTAACAACTATTTCTTAGGTTATATTATCTAGTGATTTTTTACTTTGTTGGTTTCTTGATTAAGTTTATCTTACAAATTTTTTCTTTGTTTTTTGGTCTTTTTAGTTGTACTACAGCGAGGAAATAGTTGTTGTTCCTCCACAGGCTCTAGAGAAAAGAAGAAACAAGATATTCTCTTACACTGCCAATATCCAATATTAGAAAATATATTTTTCTGTGAATATTTTTATATATGACTCGCCCATAGGATCTCTCAAGCAGGTATATATTTCTTCAATTGTTTTATTTGTAGTCAATTAGTGTTTTTTGTTCTTCTTAAAGTTGAACTGTTTCTCTCTTGAACTGTGTTTTATTTGTAGTCAATTGAACTGTTTTTTTCTGTGGATAGTTGCCCGTAAATTTCAAGCCCAAGTTCTCCACCATTAAGGACAACATTTTTTCTGAGAAAGAAAAAGGGAAAGGGAGTAGAAAGTGAAGCTAATTGTGGAATTGTCAAGCCTGATGAGATACATGAGGCTACGCATCTGGCTGCACTTGATATTTTTGCTGGTTGTGGCAACTTCCCAACTTCCATCAAAGATCCTCAGCCATCGGGTTATGTCCACAAGCCTAGGGAACAACATATGAATTTGTAAAGAAAACAAGCCACAATCATAGACAGATTGGGAATGCAATGCCTCAAAGAACTTGTACTTCTCAAGAAGACTCTTCAACACCAACCCTAAAGGCACCCATTATATAGTACTAGTCATTGCTCTCGGACGTAAGCTCAAGAAAGCCTTACATTTCGAGTAGCCTCTTCAACACCAACCATAAAATTTGTCGACATAAAATGTAAAGAAAGTTGTATAATCCATATTGAAATAAAAAAGTTAAAAACTAATTTGTCTTGGTCTCGATTATGGTACCAATAAAATAAACAACAATGTCTATGATTTATCATCGCCTTGCTAATTGGGTAAAAGATTTATGATACAATGTTTCAGTAAGATAAGACATCCATGTTCGATTCAGATTGTCACATGCTACTCATTCTCATTTATTATTTCTTTTCCTCTTTACAAAAATTTCAAGATATATATCATGGACGATGATCTCCTTTGAATATATCTTAAGTCATAACACCTAGGCCCTAGCAAGCATCCTTTTCTATAACTTTTAAACCTCAAAACTCGACAAGTTGAATTTTTCACTTACTTTGAGTTTAAAATAAATCATATCCACGGTCGTGTAACTACAAGTCTACAAATGACTACACTTACTAAAAAAATTGTAAAAAACTAAAATCTACAATCTAAATAATGACCTCATTTCTAATCCCTGTTTCACAATATATAATTTGAATTTTTTTCAAAATAAAAATTATGTCAATCCAGAAACTTATATACACAAGGACAACAATAAATAATCATATGAAATTAGGTCAAAAAAAATCATATGAAATTAAATTAAGTAATAGTAATAGTAAACTCCTTTATCCGGTAACTGTGAAACATTAGGGCCAGTAGACCCAAAAATCAAATCATTTTTTTTTTGTTATTTTTCCCTGATCTTAGCTTTTGTTGCAATTATAATAACCACACCACTTCAAACATCTACAATCTAAATAATGACCTCATGAATTTATGTTCTAATCCGTGTTTTACGGTATATAGTTTGATTTTTTTTTTTTTAAATTATGTCAATCCAGACACTTATAACAAGGACAACAATAAATAATCATATTAAATTAAATTAAATAACTGTAAAGTAGACCCAAAAGTAAAAAAAAATTGTTAATTTTCCCTAATCTTAGCTTTTGTTGCAATTATAATAATTAGGAAATGAACTATGCGCGTCAACGCACGCTAAATTAAAGAAACTTAAACTATTATTATTTAATAATTATATGATACATTTATGATAATAATAAGAATAATATTTTACAATCTACAACATGAGGGTTCTCTATTAACATATACAGATTTTTTTTTCTTTTTCTTTTTATGAATCTCATTATTATTTTTGTACGTCAAATTTATCTTCATTGAATTAATCAAGAATTACATTATCATTATACAATAACTGTGAAAGCCACAAAGATGAATTCAATCTATGAATTTCATTATTATCTAACTAGGAGAGAACCCGCACAACGCGCGGAATTTGATTTTATAAATTTGATACTGGTTTAATGTTATTAACTTTCTAATATGCATACAGTAGACAAGTGAGAATACATCATTATTAAAAATGTGTTTTTGCTAACTTGTGTTTTCTTTCCTTTCGACTTTTCACATTTTTTGTTGCTGCGTTTACATTTTCTTTGTTATTAAATTATAATTGGTATGTTTGAGTAAAAAAAAAAAATTTATAAAACCAAGTACCGAAATGAAAACGATTGATCTCTGGTCAAGCCAATGTACATCTTTAAAATGAAAACGAAATGTGAAGCTACATAACTTAAGTCCACAAGCAACAATGGTCACTGCTCTGTACTATAAATATAGATCTCTGCAATGCTTAGCTGGATTTATCACTGAAACAAAGATATTTACAAGCTTAAGCTACTTTCCCAGATGGATTGCATATGGAAAGAAAGAGTTCGGATCAAACTGAGATTACAGACAAAAGTGTAAAACTTTGGTTTTTGCAGAGATTCATAAATAAAAGCATATTAATTGACATTGACAAAGCCTTATCATTCATGGAACAACATCTTCTCCGGTGAAGATAGCCATCAATGCAGCGACAAACCAGCTCCAAGATTTCACTTCCGATCAATCCTTCTGAGGAAACAAAGCCACAGCCTTTTAGTGGCAAATACATCTTCCTCGCTAGATACTCAGTCTTCTTCTTCACTGTCTCTGCAGATAGATTAAGACACGAAGGATATCGTTTGAGTATTGGCTTGACATTGCTGCTTCTAGGCTACTAACAGAAAAGAGTCTAATGGCAAGTCAAAAAGAGATTCAACATCACGAGGAGTCAAATGAGATTACAACAGCACAGATTAAGGTCTCAGAGATGCATAACAATAATGCTCATCTTTTGCTTCCTTTTGTCATTCTCAAAAGATACATCCTGCTAAAAACTAACAGAAAACAAATAAGAACAAACCTTGGGGATGCTCATTCTTGTGAGTGGGGAGTGCCTTTGAGGTCTATGAAACTCGTTCTCCATTAAAGACATCCATCAACTCAGGAAACAGCTTCTCATGCTTCATCACATACTGGTTTGAGAACGTATGTTTGGTCTTCGACATAATAGTCGACACTAAAGGGAGTTCACTTCCCTTTCCAAGCAATCTTTGGACATGAGAGCTTTGATAACGTTACACCTCGCAATGGTACCTCGGCTCCACCAGAACCAATAAGCTTAAATGTTTCAAGGTCCCCGAATTTTACAGTCTTATCAGCTGAACCTATAACCACGGGGCAATATGAATATTAAGAAAAACAATGCCGCATTATGATAAATATATGTCACCGGGGAATCTGAGAGCGTCAATGTTACAAAGCTTCCTAAGATTCAGACCTGTTGCCAGCAGATATTCATGGGGATGAAAATCCAGACTCTTCAACTCATGCAACAGTTTTCCAGCGATCCAATACCACAACTGGTTAAGGCAACCTAAAATATCAGATCCAACATTAAGAGAGCAAACGTTGCAGGCAACTATCTTTTTATGATTATAAAAAACAGTAAGCAATACAAACCTTGACAACATTGTCTTCTCCTCCAGATACAACCCAACGACCATCTGGGGTGAATCTGAGTACATTCAGACCTGAATAGTACTTTCAAGTGTATAGAAGAAGAGAGGCTAGAAGAATCTCGAATCAATTTCCTTTAAGCTTGAATCATCTCTGTTCTTACTCTGTAACGCCACACATTCCTTTCTAGTCTTGACCTGCGCTTGCTTTTCACGATCTTTAACCCTCCCATCTCGGCTCAGCTGTCTTTCTTGGAGTGACTGCTAGGTCCTCTTCACGTAATCATCCCTAAAAGCCATGTCATTGTTCCATTGAGTCATGAATCTATCAACCGATACAATAAAAACACAGACTTCAGGAACAGATGATACACACAGAATCAATCAGGAACAGATACACACAGGTACAAACCTCAGAGCTGGCAAACACTTCAAGATCTCTAACGTTTCCAGACGCAGCTTTCCTCATCACAGCAAGGCTCTGGAAATACGCCGCATTCTAACAAAACACACAAACATAACTTCATATTATTACATCTTTAAAAATCATCTATAAGCAAAATTAAAACAGAGAGACAAAGATCAAATACCCCTCTGTCTCGTCTTACCCTCAACATCTTGATCCTTTCATAAGATCTGTCTCTCTTGTCACTCGTCACTGCCTTTTCAGCTGTCATTAACATAAACACAGAGGAAAAAAAACTCAAAACCAAATTAAAAACCTAAACTTTCATATTAGAGGCAAAGAAAACATTCAACATTATCCTAACAAAACATCATTTTTAACCCAAAATGCAATCCGAAATCACCATAAACAAATCAAAAATTTCATCTTTGCAAATACCGCCGTAAAACCAGAAACCCATAAATCAAAATCCACAAAAAGATAAATTCTAACTAAGGAGAACCGTGTCTTCCGTGATAAACTTCATGTGATGCATTCTTCTCTTTCTAACCTCAATATGAAATTTAAAAACCCATTAGAGTAAGAACACAAAAGGCTCTAAATTATTAAATTTACACTGAAGCACAAGGACTATAAATTGTTAACAAAGATAAACAGCACAAATCTTAATTCATCAGGATAAAGTAGCTAAATTGGATACTCAATACATATTCATACTCACCGGAGAAGAATCAGTGAAAATAAGGAGTATGAAAGTGAGGAGATCCGATTTCGGAAGTGAGGAGATCCGATTTCGGAGAAGCAAAGCGAAAAAAGAAAGGGAGAAGAGAGTGGAGGAGGGCTTATATAAAGGATCTGGAATTGGCAGGGATGGTCACAGAAGCGGAACTTTGAATGGATATCATTCATACCATTGATAACAGAAACGATCATCGGAATCCGAAAAGACTGTGGAATCGGAAGAACGAAACGGATAAACATTACAGATATGATGAACCTCTCGCCACTGACCTATGGAGACTGTGGATACGGAGCCGTTTTCCGCATGGCGGCGGAGTAAGCACAAAGCTACGGAGTACGAATCGTTTAACAATTCGGGACTTAAACGGCGTCGTTTTGGAGGGCACCGGAAGTTGGAGGAAGTTGGAAACGGTGTCGTTTTGGCGCAGAGAGAGGAAGGAGTAGATTAATAATTAAAGGGATGACGTGGCACTCTCTAGGGGTGCTGATGTGTTACCAGGAGAGTGTCACAAGCCCTTTCAATTATATAGATTCTAAAACTGTTTTTTTGTTGATTTAATATTTCAGTTACTCAAAAAAAAAAATAATCCACATATATATATATATATAACAGTTCTTTGACTTACTAAGCGTATTTAACAATAAAAAAATAGAATACATTTTCAACTCCTATTCAAAGAAAAATGTAGTTAGCTAGTGTTTCTCATATTCATACGCGCGTTGCATAAACATAAAATTTGACTATAATGTAAAACCATATTTACTTGTTTAATGTAACGATTTGTTTTCTCTGTTTCGTCAACTTGTCCATGACAAACTTTAAGCGATGTTTTTTTTTTCTTTATTCCTTTTTGTAACACCTTAATATTTGTTTATATAGAATCTTATATATAATAGGAGAGTGCTCTCTCCATCTAGATTATCCACATCAGCAAAAAATTCATTAAATTGTATTTAAGAAATTTAATATATGACTATTCATATTTCTTTACATATAATCCAAAAAAATACATAAAATAAATTAAGAAAAATACACAAAAATCAATTAAAAAATATAAAGTATGTAATAACTTGGTATCAAAATTTAACAAAAATAGGAGAATCAATTAGACAAAGAAAAATGTGTTTATTGACAAAAATTTATAGTATAAATAGTATATAGTTACTTATTGATCAAAATTTATATAGAGGATTTAATTTTTGTAAAACATTATAATGTGTTTAAGAGTTAAAAAATATAGAATATTATTTAGATAATACAGCTGAAAGCGAATAAGAAGTTAGAAGTAAGAAATGTAAATTTTAAGGATTATGAAATGTTTGTTTTAAAAGTATAATTTAAATTTACAAATATAAAATTGTATATAAGAATCAACGATCATCTTGATCAAACGCTAATCTAAAGAAAAATAAATATATTTTTTACCATATTTCGATAAAAATGTGATTCTATACCATGTTTTAAAATTCTTTTTTCAAACTTAATGTTAAATTATAGTCCAATGAAACTGAATAAGTGAAATATTTAAAATGTTAAATTTTTGAAAAAAGAACCATAGATGAAGTATACTGTTAACATTTTTTAAAAGTAATATTGAACATCTTTAATGTGAATAATTGGATTAACTCAAAACGTAACCACTAAAAATGAATAATAAACCATCTTAATCTAAATCAACGAATACAGAAAAATATAATTATTTTTGCAACAACCCCGCGCTTGCGCGGGCCTTCATTCCCTAGTATATAACAATAAAACAAGAGAAACAAAACTGGATATATAAATACTTTTGTTCTTCAGATTTACATTGGCCAATTTCCAAACTGGATTTATAAATATTCTGCGATTAAGGTCCCAATGTGGTTTCTTCTTCCGATTAACATTTACGCACAAGAAGAGGAACTACTTCTCATTTTTATTTATTTTTTGATAAAGATGTAGAGTTTTTTTTTTGGTAAAAATAAAAATGTAGAGTTTATATTATAATATACTCTTTCTTAATGTTGTGTTTAGTTTTTCGTCTTAATCTAGTCAGTCAAATGTTAAGAGGGTGTATTTCTGTAGGGGCACGCCTACAGAGCCGCGGGATTCAAATTGACCCATTATGTGTACGGTGTGGTATGGCTCCGAAAATGGTTAACCATATGTTATTTGAATGTCCACCAGCGTTACAGGTGTGGGCTTTTTCTCCAATTCCTACAGCCTTTGACCATTTTTCCGACAAAAGGTTTGTTCACAAACATTGCTCATATGTTCTGGAACCTACCAAATGATGAAAGAATGAGTATGTACCCCTCGTTAATTTGGTTTATTTGGAAAGCCCGAAACGACAAGGTTTTTTCCAATGATGATTCAGATCCTAATGATATTATTAACCATGCGGCCAGTGAGGCAGTAGCGTGGCGGACGGCACATGAAAAACAAGAGCGACCACCGCTCTCATGGGAAATTCGGTTGAGTTGTCTTTCAAGGGTGAGATTTGTCAGATTGATGGATCATGGAAAGACACAGATCCTCGAGCGGGGCTAGGTTGGTATAATTTCAATACGGAAACGGGTGAAAAACTTCATGGGTACGTGTAATTTAAGGCGGGGTATATCACCACTCCAAGCAGAATTGGAAGCTCTGGTATGGGCTATGCAGTGCATGCTACGCCAGAATAAGTTAACAATAGTGTTCGAAACAGACTGTTCTGATGTGGTAAAGATGGTGTCTAAACCCGAGGAGTGGCCAGCTTTCGCAACAATACTAGAGGAGTTTTGCAGATGTAAAACGGAGTTCATCTCCTTTTCCATAGTGCATATTTCAAGAAAACAGAACACGAAGGCGGACAAGTTAGCACGGAGTGCTAGAGCTCTACCTACCGATGTGTATTATGTAAACTCTGTTCCTCCGACTTGGATCCCCGAGTTGATTTAGAAACAGAGGCTGTCGACAAAAAAAAAAAAAAAAAAAAAAAAAAAAATCTAGTCAGGCAAATTTTGTGTTATACACATTTTCAGAACCATTTATAGAACAGCGTAACTTAGGAAAGTCCACATTGTTCGCATATTTACAGTGTAGTTACATGGATGTGTAATATTTAAGTGCCTCTTAAAAGAAACACATATTCTCCCTCGTTCCTGTGGCTTTGTAAATGTCAAGACAATGATAGTTTCTATGAGATCTCTCTGCTTCTAATTATGTAAAGTTGTGTGACAATTAGAAATTCTTACTGAAGAAAGGATATGGAGAGAAGCCTGAAGTTGTGGCCACTGTCGATTCAGTTCAATGCGAACATCACATATGTATTGCATACAAACAATGTACGAGTTAGTAAACATGTAGTAGAGTTTTAAGCATCGATGAAAGATGTAGAGAAAGCTACAACCGTTGGACAACTCATTTAGGTGTTGATAAGGCCTTCGACACACACCAAGAGAAGTTGCAAGACTTAAAGTTGATGTCTTTGAACACTCACGCGGAAACAGAGTAAAAATCAGAAGACTTTTGTGAGAACAAGTGCAGAGAAAATTTAAAGGAGAACGAGTTCATGCTGTTATATATAATTTATAATCAAATAATTTATAAAATAGTGTCCTTTCTTTAAATTAGAAGTGTGATGTTTCAAAAAAGAAAGGGTTTGTTTGTAGTTGTAGAAGTGTGATGTTTCAAAAAAGAAAGGACACTATTTGTTACGGAGGGATGACATCATCCTTTTGGATTAAAAGAATATCTCGTCCATTAGATTAGAGACGCAAAGTAACACCAACCATTGGATGCAACTTTTTTTTTCCTACAAAAAATACTAACATCAGCGAACATAAAAAGTAGGTTTGCTATTATATATTGATTACATCATTTTAATTTGTAACAAGAGAAAGAAAAAATGAATTATTTATGTTGATTGCTTTTTTTAATGATCAAATTAGTTTTATAATCAAATAATTTATAAAATAAAAATTATATATGTTTTTTTTTAATAAAGTCTCATTTGAATATTTGATACTAGTTGTTTCATAATAGTTGAATGAGAAGGATAAAACTGTTTTAAATGGTCGAAATCACTTTTATTCACTGATCAATAAAATGAGCTCATTATTTTTGTTAGGAAATTTGAACTTAGATCTCATCAAATACTCTCTTAAACATAAACCACAATGCTATATTGATCGGCTTGTTAATTGTTGAGTCATGACATTTTTGTCCTAGAGTGAAAATAGTCCATCTATAAGAAATTGTAGTATTATAGAGTTTACATTTATTATCCAGATGCAGGTCCCTACTATTTTAGAGATTTAATTCGTTTTTGGAACGATTTGGCATCTAGAAGATAGTCTCCCACTAGATATATACATCATATATCCATCCACCCATTTAAATTAAACTAAGGAAAGAAAAAAAAGAGTAATACCACTGAATGCACATTAAAACTCTCAAAATTAACTGACACAATTTGTTACCCCACATGTCTACTAGAAAATTCCACAAATACCCAATGCATAAGTTTTTTAATTTGGTTTCTCTTTCCTCTTACCTGCGGTGGTGGACGAAGGAGTGAAGATTGGTGATTATTTTTTTTCTCTCTTTTCTCTTTGATAACGGAGAGGAAGATGAAGAAAGTGATGGAGAGAGAAGAGAGCTAAAGATTTTCTTGAGGATTGAGTGATAAACTCACAAAAAAAATTAGAGATGATAGAAAAAAAGATGGGGGAAGAGATAGATGATGCATATAATTGATTGGTGAGGGAAAAGAGAGTTCGGATGAAGCTAATGAAAACGGAATTCGATTCAATGAGAAGCACGTCGTCACCGTGGAGCGGCTGAAGAAGGAACGTCGGCGGCTTTTGGATGATCAGGAGGGAGAAGGGTCGTCGGAGAGATTTGTGGATGTTGGAGGTTATGTATGGTTGCGATGATGATGAGAGAGAAGGAGGAGAGTAATTTGAAGTCGATTTGAGTTGAGCATGGAAGTATGATAAAGGAGGAGGGGAAGAAGAAGAAGGAGGTGGACCGGTGGTGACTGTTGCGAAGGCGGCGGATAATTCGAGTGACGATGGTGATAATAACATTAGCATCAACAACATTGTTAACGGTGAGTAATGCAACTGAGTTAACATTATAAGTTTATAATTTTTTGATATAATAATTAGTTTTCACGGTAACTCATAAAGTGTTAATCGAATTAACAAGTTAATTTCCTTATTTTATATTTTGGTATTTCCTAAAATATGATAACTTGATTACGGTGATATTTTTTTTATATGATAATTATGTTAACATATAAAATATTATATGAGTTAACAGGTTTACACTATTTTAGTATGATAAGTTTATTAACACAGTAATTTTTGGATATGCTAATTATGTTACCATCAGTTTTTTGTATTTTATATTATGCTAAATAGTTTAACACGATAATTGTTTTACATGATAATCTTATATATATTGAGAGAATAATTCTCTCCTGACACTCATGGGTCCAAAAAAAACCAGACCCAATAGAGTAATAGTCACGGATCCGAACCGGTTTTTTAGAGTCGACTTCGGTTCGGGTCGGGTCCGTGAAATGCCCACGTGTAGCATTAAGTATAAATTTTTTTAGTAAGGAGATGCCACATGGCATTTCCAGAATGAAGTTAAAATGCTGAGGTGTCACTCTCAAGAGTTATCCTCTCATTATATATAAGATTACCTTTTGACTATTATCAAAACAGACCCGTGAACTCATTGTAGCCGTGCAGAAATAATCCTCTGAATTCTGAACTCATATGTTATTTTTGATTCCAAGTTTGAAAAGTCTTAGAACCACACAAAAAAAACAAAAAAAAGATTGAAAAGTCTAATTTCGTTTCTCTTTAAATCAATACTCTCCTCCACAAATAAACAGAGTAGCAAGAACCAAAAATGTCAATTTTTCTCTGTTTTCTATGGCTTTTGTTACTTCTTTTAGTAACAATAATCTTCACCAAAAAATTCCAAACCTCAAAGCTGAAACTTCCTCCGGGTCCACAAAAACTTCCGATCATCGGAAACTTACACAACCTCGAAGGATTACTGCACAAATGCCTTCAAAACCTCTCAAAATCCCACGGACCAGTGATGAGACTCCACTTCGGATTCGTTTCTGTGGTCATAGTCTCTTCAAACCAAGCAGCAGAAGAAGTTCTCAAAACCCATGACCTAGATTGTTGCAGCCGACCAGAAACCGTAGCGACAAAGAAAATCTCTTACAACTTCAAAGACATCGGATTCGCTCCTTACGGTGAAGAGTGGAGAGCTTTGAGGAAGCTCGCTGTGGTCGAGCTATTCAGCTTGAAAAAACTCAACGCTTTTAGGTATATAAGAGAAGAAGAGAATGACTTGTTTGTCAAGAAACTCTCTGAAGCTTCTCAAAAACAATCTCCTGTGAATCTGAAGAAAGCCCTTTTCACTTTAATTGCTAGTATTGTGTGTAGACTCGCCTTCGGTCAAAATCTCCACGGATCCGAGTTTATCGATGAAGATAGTATAGAGGAATTAGCGTCTAGGTCGGAGAAGCTTCAGGCGAAATTTGCTTTCTCTAATTTCTTCCCTGGAGGTTGGATCATCGACAGAATTACAGGTCAAAGCAAGAGCTTAAACGAAGTTTTCTCAGAGCTCGACGGGTTTTTCAATCGAGTGCTCGATGATCATCTAAAGCCAGGAAGAAGAGTGTTGGAGACTCCAGATGTTGTGGATGTGATGATTGGTATGATGAATAAACAAGGCGAAGATGGTTCTTTTAAGCTCACTACTGATCATATCAAAGGAACAATCTCTGTAAGCATTTTAAAATAATCTCTTTATTTAGTGGTTTTATTTGCTTAATTTTGAAAATGTTATCTTATTCAAATAGTCTCCATTAGTTTTGCCATATTTTCACATTGATTTGAGATCAAACTGAATGGTGGGTTTAGGTTCGTTATAATTTTGTGATACCTTGATGGAATTAGCGGTTTAAGTTCTACTAGTATTGGCTGTCACAATCATGATTCAGTCCTTAGTTTGTGTGTACGTATGTGCACCAGTGCATGCTTGTGTGGTATGAGTTACTATAAATGAATAAAATATCAAACTAGTTGTAGGTTATTTGGTCAAAATATTTTTAAAAATGTTCTAAGATTTTGTATTCTTTTTAAAAACCCTAGAACATTATATGAGCTTTATCTAAATAAATGCCTGAACATCTACACTTTTGTTTGTTTTTGCGATTGTGTTTAGGATATATTTCTTGCGGGAGTAAACACAAGTGCAACGACCATACTTTGGGCAATGACAGAGTTAATGAGAAACCCAAGAGTGATGAAGAAAGTGCAAGATGAGGTTAGGACAGTACTTGGTGAAAACAGAGAAAAAATCACAGAACAAGATCTTAACAAACTTAACTACTTCAAGCTTGTGATTAAAGAGACGTTCAGATTACATCCAGCAGCTCCGCTTCTACTACCAAGAGAGACAATGTCTCCAATCAAGCTCCAAGGCTACGACATACCCGTGAAAACCCAGATCATGATCAACGTTTATGCTCTAGCACGTGACCCGAAGCTTTGGGAGAATCCAGATGAGTTTAAACCGGAAAGATTTGCTGACGGTTCTGTTGATTACAGAGGACTTAACTTCGAGCTTTTGCCGTTTGGTTCTGGTCGGAGGGTCTGTCCTGGAATGACGATGGGGATCGCAATGGTCGAATTAGGGTTGTTGAATTTGCTTTACTTCTTTAATTGGGGATTGCCTGAAGGAACCACGGTTAAAGATATCGACATGGAAGAAGAAGGTGCGGTTATTATTGGCAAGAAAGTTTCTCTTGAACTTGTACCTATTCGTCCTCATTGAACAACAACCAGAAAAACAAAACAAAAAAAAAAAAAAAAAAAAAAAAAAAAAAAAAAAAATCAGAGAAGAAAATGACTTCTGTTTCTCTATATGTTTTATTGTGTAGTGAAGTAATTTTATATCTTTTTTTAGGGACGCAAGTTTAGTTTTTTTTTTTTTTTTTTGATAACGAGGAACGTAAGTTTATAGACCTTAATTTGGATTGTGGACTGAGTGTTATATGTAATTATTCTCATTTATTAATAAATGCGTGTAATGAAGGTTTGCTGTGATATGAAATGTATTTTCATTTAAACTTAGACAGATTGGCGCAACTGAAAGCATTTTATGAAAATGAAGTAATGCTTGTACATTCCTTTTTGCAAGGTTCGGTTTTTATGAATGATGTGTAAATTCGACAATGCATTTCTGCTTTCGAGTTTCGGTTGTGTGATTTAAAATTAAACTGTTTCACTGACGACGATAGGTACAAGTTTAAGAGATTAGTTGGATAAGCGATTACCTATTTGGGCTAATTGGCATATTTAGAGTCGTTAGATATTTGTGTTTAAAGTGTAGAAATATTTAAGGGACTTTTTGAAAAATACATTTAGTTTTTTTTTTCTGTTTTGAAAAATACACTTTTTAAATATAAAAAAACTGTTTTGACATGATATAAAAAAGCATTAATCATTAATTACAAATTAAAAACGAAATTAAAAAATAATAAAAATTAATAAGATTTTTTTTTCAGATAAATACAGTATATGTTAAATTGAAACAAATTTTAATATTTTTGGACCTTTATATAAACAACTTAATCTCAAATTCCAATCAAATGAAACTTTATATAAATTTAAACTTTTTATAAATTATTAAAAATTTAAAAGTGGAGAAATTTATCTTTCGTTTTTAATGTTTATCTTGATACAAATTTAAATATTTTTGAAACTTTATATAATTAAAAAATCTTAATCTCACCCCCATTTAAACTTTATATAACAACCTTATATTTTTATTGAATTTTCAAAAAATCTAAACAGATAATTAGGATGGTTTAGTATTTTAAAATGAAAGAAAATTATTATCAAATCTTAATATTTTATATTTCTTAGTTGATTTTCATTTTTATTAAATTAGTTGAAAACTTCAAATTAGGATAATTAAGTCATTTCACATATAAAAAGTGTATTTTCCAAAACCAAAAAAAAATAATAAGGGTGGTTTTTAAATTAAAAACTCATCAAAGAGTATATAAAAATTTCTCAATATTTAAAGTATAAGAATATTCTCTCTTTTTAAAAAATTAGAAAAATGTTAATAGAATTAGACCACCACTTCCACACGAAAAGTGTAGACAATTTTAACCAATCAAAATTTCCCATTGTGATTTCAAAGTGTTTGATTTTGTACAGGTGATTAGACATTTGATCTTGTACAATCAAAGTTTCACATTGATATTTTAAAGTGTATAAGTGTATTATCTTTGCTGTTTCTTTTTTTCGGAAAAAAGTGTTTAATCTTGTAATAGTGAGCTGACAAACACCTACAAAAGATAGCCTTTTGAAATTGATAAGAGACGTACATTTTTTTTGGAAAACGGCCAAAACATACCCAAACTTCACTCGTATGTTCGATTCATACCTCAACTTTACCACCGTCGAAATCCTATACCCAAACTTACTTCAAATTTAAATTTCATACACAAACTTTCATATTTTTTGAATTTCATACATTTTCCGTCACTGTTTAACTAGTCTGTTAAATCGTGATGACGTGGATGCCACGCAAGATACGACGCCGTTTTGTAAATCGTCGAAATTAGAGAGAGGTGATGAAAACGACATCGTTTTCTGTTTACATCTTCAGATGTCTGTTCTTCTTGAAAAACTCAGACAACGAAGAGACAAAATACTCCCCAAAATCTCTGTTCTAAATCCTTTGATCTCACAACAGAGGAATCGAAGAATTGACAAACAAAGCTCTGTTCGAGTCGCATCTGAAGCTGCTCACCCCTTCACCATAAAAACACAAAAATCAATTGGAAAGATCTACCCAAACTTACTCTAACAGACAAATCTTGAATTACTCACCTGAACTAGCTGAAGAAGACATCTCAGAGTTCTCGATTACTCGATTTTTGCTGCCTAAAACCCTCGATTGTGTAATTTCAGCACTTTAGATGGGTTGGAGAAGATGAACAAAACGACATCGTTTCATTTAGCAGCGACAAAACGACGTCGTTTTAGCTCCTTCGTTAATCTTAAACGTTTTCGCCTAATCCACGACGACAACATTTAACGGGTTATTAACGGAGAATTTAGCCACGTAATTTATTTTTAACGGAGAAGAGTCCACGTCACGGAAAATGTATGAAATTCAAAAAATATGAAAGTTTGTGTATGAAATTTAAATTTTAAGTAAGTTTGGGTATGGATTTCGACGGTGGTAAAGTTGAGGTATGAATCGAACATATGAGTGAAGTTTGGGTATGTTTTGGCTGTTTTCCCACATTTTTTTGATAGAAAAGTAAGAGAGACGACAATATGATATTTTAAGGAAGATAAAAGAGATGACAAGAGACATGTAAAAAGATGTTATCCATACGATTATTTTGGGGAGTTGATTATATTGATAAACGGAAAATTATTAACCTTTTAACGTATAAAGTTTATTTTGTTTATTTTTCTAATTCAACATGTTCACTAAATTTTGGGTAGAAAGTGTGCAAGCATATGTTCAGAGTACAAACCATTTATAAACATAGAAAACAGCACATTCCTAAAAAATCTCAAACTCAAATCTTTAGAACTATTTTTTAAAAAAAATGAACAGAAAGAGCTATTTTAATAAAGAGGCAACAAAAATTAAGAATTCTGATTATGTTTATGCTGATAAATAAAATTTATGAACCATTTTCGCATATAGTTTATTATATTTATTTTGCCAATTTTGACATATTCACTAGATTTGGGTCAAGTGGATAGATAGAAAGTCACATATTCAGAATCCAAAACCACTTGTAAACATACAAAACATCGCATTATTAAAGTATTACAATAATGTCACCTTTGACAACCTTTTCCCGTACAAAATGGTAATGGTAGTTAATTTCAATATGTTTCGAGCGAGCAGTGGGGCTTAATAGCGGGCGAAAACTCTGATGATCAGGACTAAACGAAACCACTTGGAAGAAAAGCAAATGAAAGGAAAGAAAGTCTTGCTTACCTAGGATGGGTTCCAGGTGAGTGAGACAGGGATGAGCTCTCTGTCGGATTGAGAAGGGCAATGCAAGACCTTTTCTCACAACCAGAGGAGCGAAGCCTGCTAAGGTACAGGTAGGGTTGCTTACTGCAGGCCAAAAGCTCTATGGAAAAATCGTGGTTCAATTTGATGTTTTCTAAGGGAGAATTGGAATACGAAGGCGAGCTAAGTAAAGCAATGGATAGTTTTGCTCCTATTTAAAAGACTACTATATATAAAGACCGGTTTATATATGAGATGGATAAACACTTTTATGGTTGGGGTGAGCGTTCTAACAATAAGGTTGATCTTTTAGTTAGCGCCAAAGACATTCGGAATTTCATATCGGATGACACCTTTTTTGTTAGGGATAGTAATAAGAATTGTTATTCTATATATTTTGATAAAAAAAAAAAAATTGAGATTAACACGGATTTGATAAACCGGGAAAAGAAAGATTATTTTGTGAAAGGATTTTTGGGCCTATAAAGAGTGGAATTTGCGCTTGTGGAAATTATCGAGTGATCGGAAATGAAAAAGAAGACCCGAAATTTTGTGAACAATGTGGAGTTGAATTTGTTGATTCTCGGATACGAAGATATCAAATGGGATACATAAAACTGACATGTCCTGTAACTCATGTATGGTATTTGAAACGTCTTCCTAGTTATATTGCGAATCTTTTAGATAAACCTCTTAAAGAATTAGAAGGCCTAGTATACTGTGATGTGTGATTTGATCGAAATTTTGATTTTACAGATTAAGAATGATAAACTCTCATCCCCTTCAATCAATTTGGGATGCCCCCGATCTGACATGTCTCTTGAAAGGAGTAACATGAAGCTCAGAATTATGGGTGTATTCAATACTTCCAAATCAAAAAGGGCGGTTGGTCTATGGTCAATTCAGTAAAAAAAAAAAAAAAATTCAAATTGATAGTCGTACCTCGTGAAAAGAAGACCTTTTTTTATCGAATTAAGCATTCCCTTATCTTTCTAAAAGAAAAAAATTTGGGTTTTTTATATTCAAGTAAACAAATATGTCATGGTTGCAGAAGTCTATACATCGCATATAAGCTTTAAGAATATTTTGGCCTAACCATCGAGGTGACGCAGGACCTAAAAGATCGAATGGAACAATACATAGACAAATAAATCCCGTATGAATTCTAAGGCATTCCTTTCACTTAAGGTAAAAAGTATTCCGGCATTCGAAGGGAAGTAGACTACTCAAGATGCCGAATCTTCCACATAGAGAGATTTATTGTTGACAAGACTAGTCTCAACTTACTTAGACAGAATCTCAGTCATTTCTATGGTGGGGGGGAATGAGTCCTCCATCGTTCGTACCTATTGGGCCCCGTGACGCTCCATTGAATTCTTTTCTTCCTTGCTTTCGTCACAAATCCCATCTGTCTAGTCTGTAGGAGTGTCCCTAACGAACCTGATCGGCTCGAAATTAGATCAGAGGGTTACCCACTAATCATCATCTCATCTGGCGCGAAGCAAAAAAGAGGGAAAAAAAACCTTGCTTCCCGGCCGCCCCCCCTAGCCGCCTACCTACTCGTGCTCGTAGCTCGATCGGAGGTCAAGAGCGTGGTCCGGCGGAAAAACGGAAGTCGTCCGTATCAAGTAATACGTGAATTGCTCAGTAGTGCTTCGCCACTACCGTAGCTGACGGAAATAGCTTAATGGTAGAGCATAGCCTTGCCAAGGCTAAGGTTGAGGGTTCAAGTCCCTCCTTCCGCTCCTGGTGTTCGAACTAGTCATTAATGGTCG